TCCCCTTCCAGGCTTTGGCTGCAGGGGGACAGGTGGGCCATGTGTAGGGAAGCCTGAGGACTCACTACCCAGCAGGGCACACACTGTAGGGGGGAGCTGGGCACGTTTGAGAGGGTACAGTGGCAGTGGTGATCATGATCTCGGAACCACAGACGAGAGAACCAGTTTGTCTCATAGTGTGGTCTGCCGGAGATCTCCAGGGTGGCTGGGATTCTGCCCTGTGGGGAGATGAGCTCAGGGGCAGGCTGACCTGCTGTCTCCCTTTCATGGGGAGCCATCGGATGCAGGGTCATGTTGGTACTGCCTAAAGAGGAACTTCATTTGTAACCCAGCGCTGTATGAAGCAACACCCTCACCCCTTCCCTGGGCCATGCTCCGTTCTAGAACTGTCCTTGTAGCCAAGCCATTCCCCTGTAGGAGGGACGGGAGTGAGGCTGTGGCCTGGGGTGGGGCAAAGTTGCATCCAGCCGACTAACCACATTGAGCAGAAGGTGTGTATTACACAATTGTGACTTTACTGCAGGTTTGAGATCTTTCACAATAGAGATGGAAAGCAAAATCAAAATAGAGACAGCAAAAAATACAAATAGTTCTAGTCCTTTGCGTTTTAAATTAAAAACAGGATACGTACAAGTTTTTGAATGTGTATAAAGTTTTATTTTTTTAAAGGGCTCTCGAAAGGCGGAGGCATTTAGGGAAAGGACCCTTTGTCTGATGATGCACTTGTATCTAGAAATGATCTTTGCCTCTGATTCAGTTACTGTGGTCATAGTGATTTTGCTTTCAATTAACAATTAGATCTGTGTGCTTTGTAAGGTGCTTAGTTTGCTTTCCACTTGAAGATGGAAGAACGGATAGCCCTGCGCCCTGCGGGCTCCCTGAGGTGCTTGGGTCCCCAGACGTGGGGGTGGGACGGGGCAGGGCAGGCACTTGAGCTGCTGCATCACGTGGCCACCCCGAGATCCTGGCCTGGGAAGTGTATTGCATCATACATCCCAGCGCATATGTGGTGTTTAATAGCATTTAACTCCTTCGTTTTTACGGTTCCCGGAGACACCCAGATGACATACACCTTCGGTGTTTTTTCTGATCGCAAAAATATGGCATAATCATTAAAAAAATCAAACAACTTATAAATGAATAGACAGTGAAAATTGCCTTAATCAAAGCAGAGGGCAGGGGCACCTGGCTGGCCCTGTAGGTGGAGTGTGCGACTCTTGATCTCGGGGTCGTGAGTTCAAGTCCCATGTTGGGCATAGAGCTTACTTAAAAGAAAAGCAGAAAAATGGTAGGGATGGAGTAAGGCGCAGGGGTGTCTGCTCTGTTCTTTGTTTGGTGACCGTGGTAATGGAGCAACGATACTGAAACAGCCCACGGAGAGAGCGGACCAGGCCACTCGAAGTGCGCATCATTTACTGTCTCGTTTGTCTCTCACTTGTTCTCATCTGTGGTTGAAAAAAAAAAGCACCCAGAGAGACGAATTAACTTTCCCAAAGGCACACAGTAAGGGCTGCATGGTCTAACCAGTGGCCTGGATGAGCTTTGGTCCCTCCTCCTCTTTGTCACAGTTCTCAGTATGGCTGAGGCAGAATCCCACCGGAGAAGCGTCTTCAGAGTCCTTGCTGCCTCTGCCCACCCTGGCCCTCTCCCATCCTGCTCGCATGATTGCCTTTGTGTGGCGTGTGTTGCGTGGCCCAAGAGCTAAGACCTCGCCATCTTGGTTTTGGGCCTTCGGCATCGCCTGGGATCCAGCAGGTGCTCAGTCAGGATTTGTCTCGGGTTTTGAGATTGGGTGATGTGTGACCTTTGCAGTCACTGAGGTCCTGTGTCTGTCGCCCCAGTTCGGACTTGCTGGGCTGTGCGAGGTGAATGCCTCACTCACGTGTCTGGCACTGGCGTTCAGATGGCGGCCAGATGGACGGGGAGTGGCCGGGCTGCTCACGTCATCTGGCTTCCCCTCGAGTGAGCACCGCGAGAGACAGGGAGCGGAAGCCTCGCTGGGCCCAGGCTCCCTTTGGCTCCGTTTGGTCCGTCACAGGCAGCCACAGAACCCGCTCAGACAGAAAGGAAGGGGACATGGACCCCACCTGTCGGTGGGAGCTGTGTCACAGTTCGTGGGCATCTTTGGTCCCCACCAGCCCCACGTGACTGTGCCCCTGGCCTTTCTCTTCCCTGAGTGGGGCCAGCCTTGTTTCTGCCCAACCTTTGTGTTTGCAGTTCCTACACCTAGAACCTTCCTTTTCCTGTCATCACACCCTGGCTCTGGCTCATCAGTGAAGCTTCAACTCACATGTCCCCTCTTCACAGGGGCCTAAGTGACCCCACCGTCTTGTCACCGTGGCCCACTCCTATTTTCCTCATTCACTGACCTATTTCCTCATTGCTGGTCTGCCCCCCCCCCACACACACACACCACTGACCCCAGAGCTGCAGCCCCGTGGGGGCAGGAACCTGTCTCTGTCCATCACCTCCTCCCACGCCCAGTACGTGGCATATGGAAATTGCTCAGGAAGCTTATGGTTGATGAGTGAGTCAGAGCCACATTACCTGCAACCCAGCAACAGGGCCCTGGGCTTTCCCACTCCCTCTGGCCTCCGGTGAAGATCAGTAGCGTTGACATTCTCATTTTGAGGAGCGCAGACTGCTGGCTGGTGGAGGGAGGTGGGGAGGGGGTTAGTGCTGCAGCCAGATGCAGTCAGGCCTTCTGGGCAGGGGTACCAACAGCTGGTTGTTGTTTTTGTTTGTTTGTTGTTTTTTAAGATTTATTTATATATTTTAGAGCGAGAGAGAGCATGTGGGGAGGGGCAGAGGCAGAGGGAGAGAGAATCTCCAGCAGACCCCGTGCTGAGCACAGAGCCCGACACAGAACTCCATCCCATGACCCTGAGATCATGACCTGAGCCAAAATCAGAAGCCAGACACTTAACTGACTGAGCCACCCAGGCGCCTCCTCACAGTAGCTTTGATCGTCTGTGGTGCATTTTTTCTCGGAGAACGGAGACCTTTAGTTTTCTGGGGCTGGGATCTTTAGAGAGCATGGCGAGGTTCTTCTGGAGATCTTACCGCCTTGGCTACTTTAGTTAACTCTCCAAGGATGATGGGAGAAATGAGCTGGGCACATTGTTATTTGGTGCATTTTAAATGCTTCTGTGCAGGTGAGGATTGCAGTGTGGGGAGCGGAGGTGGATCAATACCTCTTAGCAGGATGATAAATTGCTAGTCCGGAGCATGGCTGTTACTTCATGTGCCTTAAATCCATCAAAGCCCAGGATGGCGCTTAGGTAATCAAAATAGTTCTGTGATACACACAGCATGAGAGCATCTGATTTATTATGGCCCCCAAGGCAGGGAGCTGAGGAGACAGCCCTTGAACACACCCTCTCGAACGCTGGCCCCTCCTGCCACTGGACGGGAGCCTGTGTCCCGCACTCTCTGTATCCCCCGCCCCGCATAGGGCTGCGTGTGTAACTGCTAGTGAACACAGAAAACCGTCTCCTAAAACCCATGCTCGGTGTCTGGGGTGGCCTCCCTGTAGGTGGAAAGGGCTGAGGGACCCACACAGTGGAGACGCCCGAGCAAGGAGCACAGCGCCTTGTCACCGATCCAGGGAACTGATGTTAGTGAGCGCTTGTCCTGGTGGGGACTCTAGGTGGCCAGTGACAGAAACCCCTGTCAGACAAAAAGGAAGGGGAGAGGCACAGCCTTCACCGTCCCAGCCTCCAGCTTCTCTGCGTCTGGGCTGAACAAGCTGAACGAGCACTTCATGAGACGTCAAGTGGAGTGAGTTTTGTGCATTGTACATGTCTCCAGTCTTCGTCATTCAGTCAAATCGAGCGGCTGCTCTGTGCCAGGTCCCACTGCATGTTGGGGTCACCTCAGCCCCACACGTGGTCCCCACCTTCAGCAGGTTGGGGAGACAGGAGACAAACGCATGTTACATAGCGGCGGGTGCTGTGATGAGGGCAGAAGTGGGTGAGGGGTGGGGAGGAGCTGATCTCCACAAGGTGGTCAGGTCACCCTCTGAGGAGGTGACAGAGCGAGCCATGCAGAAAAAAAAAAGTGACAGGCAGGGGAGCCTTCCAGCCAGAGGACCAGTGTGTGAAAAGGTCCTGCAGCCAGTAAGAAGTCCAGTGTGGCCTGAGGGGGCAAGCAGGGTGGGAAGTGGCAGGATATGAGGACAGAAGGCAGCCAGTGAGGAAGGGTCAACTCACGTGGGGCCTGGCAGCCACAGTGACAACTTGGGATTTCACTGAGGGTGCTGGGACCACCCCCTGGTGGGTTGTGACTGGGGGTGATGGGGTCCAGGTGATACTTTTGGAGCCCTTTGGAGGGAGCCCAGATCACCGAGGGCAGAAGCAGAACCGGGTGGGGGGGTTCCAGTAGTCCAGGGGAGGGATGGAGGCGGGGAGAAGGGTCAGACTCAGGACTCACTTAGGAGGCAGAACCACAGGACTTGTGAGGGCTAGATGTTGCTGGTGGGAGGGATGGGGGGAGCCTGGAGATTGGGCCCAGATAAGAAGGAGCATGTTGGTGCCATTGCCCCTTTTCCTGGGCTGGGGGCAGCAGGTTCGGAGGAAACGCTGAGCACTGTCCTGGACATGTTATGGTGGAGGCGACCAGCTTCCAGATGTTTTGTGGTTGAGGTGAGGAGCCTGCCATAGGGCATGTAGCACCGCCCCCCCTCCCCCCCGCCGGCTCTGAGGCCTGTCCTCCTGTGCCGGCCAGCCCAGAGCAGAAGCACAGCCCTGGGGACCTGTGGGCCCGGCCGGAGACTTGCAGCTCTTGTGATTCCCTTCTTGTGTCTGGGCCTCAGCATCCTCATCTGTAAACTGGGGTAACGAGACCCTCCACCTCCTGGAGTCATGATGCTTCTGGGACAAGATCACCTTGCCCCAGGGTCCAGGGCAAGTCAATGCATGCCTGGTGGTTGCTGTCACCGGCAGACTGGCTCAGAACAGGCACTGTCCAAAAGGAGGTGGTACAATCTGGGGAAACAGCCAGGCAGGTGCCTCTGCCCTCGGCACGGAGATGCCCGGACAGGCGGCTCTCCGGGGCGGGAACCTGCTTGGGTGTGTGCGCCCATGCCTGGCTCTTCGCCTGTGCAGGGGATTTGCGTCAGTGGGCAGGCATCTTGGTGCTGAGCAAGACGTCAGCCAGCTCTGGAGCCCTGGGCTGCTCACTCAGCATTGGCCTTGGAGAGGTCACCACTTGACCTCATTCTCAGGGCAGACTCGGCTGCTCCGCTTGGGTTTGCCCTGCTTTTTGACGCTTTCTTATTCTTTGAGTCCTGCTTGGTCCCGCCCTTAGCCCCCTCCATAGGGAGTCTCCACCCGGTTCCCTGAATCGGAGTCCTTGGAGCATAGGTCAAAGGCCATAGCTCCTCTTCAGCCCAGGCACAGTGGGGACGGGATGGATGGAGTCACTCGATGAATGGCCACATTTGGGAAAGTGTCTGTGAGCAAGATTTGGGGAAACGTGTTGCAGTGTCTGGAATTCGGATCTGGGCCGAGTACGGAGCTGCCAGGAAAGCCTCTGTGGGCTAGGCCACTGGAGCTTCTCGACCTCTGGGCCTCTTGGTCCCAGGGCCAGGCTCAGAGGTCGTGCTCGGTAAATAACTGCCAACAACTGAGTAACTCTGAGGTCCCAGCAGGACAGGGACTTTGTTTCACAGAAGAGAAAATGGGGTTCGGGGGAGAGGTGCCCAGGGTGGTGGTTGAACGGGCACCACCCGGTCCAGCCTGGACCTGGGCCCAAGTCTCTTACCCTCATGCCGGCTGCACCTCCCACTCCCGTGGGCTAACCTCATAACCGAGAGCCTGGTGGCCTACAGTAGTACGTGTGCATAGCCACGTCCCTGGTGGGTCAGCCGCCTGGGGCTTGGGGGCCAGGAGCAGCAGGGCCAGCCCCAGCCCCTGTGCCTTTCCTGCCCGGGCCCGGGAGCAGGGGCCTTGCCCAGGCAGCTCAGATCACGTCAGTTTGTGGTTTCTCTGGTTCTTTGCCAGGGGAGGAGTGAGTGAGAGAGCAGAGCACTTGGATGCTAATTTACAATGTCACTGAAGCATGAAATCGTTTCCTTCCTTTACCAGATTATTACTTAAGCAGAAAATTGACTTGGAGTGAGGGTTGGGGGAGTTACATACTTTTGAAAATTAAAAAGGAAGAAGAAGAGGTGTGGGGTTTTTTGAGGGAGGGCTCATTACCAGCAGGAAGAACTTAGCACAGGCTTTGGGGGGTCAGGATGCTAATGCAGAGCAGCCCTCTGAGCCCTGAATCCTGGCCTGGCATTGAAGGGCACAGTGGGGAGGCAGGTAAGGTTCTCGCTGTGGCCCAAGATCCTGGAGTCGCCTGTAGGGACTAAGGAGGCTCCTTTGGTTGCGGGTTTTCCAGTTGCTTCGGCCGAGGCAAATCTGGACTGCTTTAGTGGTCTGTACCCGGCTCTTCTTGTGGCTCTCTTGTTCGGGACCTCAGAATCAAGCAGGTGTCTTGTAGGTGAGCCACTCACTGATCAGCCAGCTTTGCCTCCAAACCTTTGCTCATCCCCGCTGGGTCAGGAAGCCTCGGAAGACCCTGGATTTTGGAGAACATGTCTACACTGAGCCCTTGGGTTGTAGCGGCAGCTCTTGGGAATTTTCCAAGGGCACGGGAGATGAGGGACTTCGGCCAGTGCTGCTTGGAGCCCAGCTCAGGACAGGTCCCACTGGGAGCACGGGGAGGGCGTAAGGCTCTGCTTGGGGTCTGTGGCTCCTTGGGCTCATTGTGTATCCAGCCTGCCACAGAAAACCCTGAAAGAATCAGTCTCGTTGGGCCCGTGGAGAATAGAAATTGGGCCTGGAACTGGAGAGCCCATGTGGGAATCCTGGCTCCGGCACTTTGGGGCAGCCGCTTTGCTTCTCTGAGCTTCCCCAGCTGTAGAATCAGGCCACCTGAGCCGTGTCCCCAGAGGACAGCTTGAGAACGGGATGTGGCCCAGGGCACATGCTACTTAGCCCTGCTGTGACCTGAAGTGCGCTTAGTGTCCCGAGGCCACCATATACGTGTTCCCTTGACCGTGGGAGGCAGCTGCAGCTCAGACTCACTCCGAGGGGGCTCATTTCCAGGCCAAAGACGTTTGCTTCCAAAGCTGGCCTGAAATTTAAAAAAAGCCAGTTTCTGAAGGGCGGAGGTAAAAAACCAGCCACTACCGCCCACACCGTCCCTGACCACGTGGCCGAGGGGAGGGGCGGGGTGAAGGGGAGCTGCCCCGGGGCCGCGTGCGGGAGCCAGGGCCTGGCCCCTCTCACCTGTGGCCTTGCCCTGCCTCCCGCAGGTGGCTCAGCATGTCGGTCAGCGTCCATGAGACCCGGAAGTCGCGGAGCAGCACGGGGTCCATGAACATCAGCCTCTTCCACAAGGCCTCCCACCCCGACTGCGTGCTGGCGCACCTCAACACGCTGCGCAAGCACCGCATGTTCACGGACGTCACGCTGTGGGCGGGCGACCGCGCCTTCCCCTGCCACCGCGCCGTGCTGGCCGCGTCCAGCTGCTACTTCGAGGCCATGTTCAGCCACGGCCTGCGGGAGAGCCGGGACGACACGGTCAACTTCCAGGACAACCTGCATCCCGAGGTGCTGGAGCTGCTGCTGGACTTCGCCTACTCGTCCCGCATCGTCATCAACGAGGAGAACGCCGAGTCGCTGCTGGAGGCCGGCGACATGCTGCAGTTCCACGACGTGCGCGACGCCGCCGCCGAGTTCCTGGAGAAGAACCTCTTCCCGTCCAACTGCCTGGGCATGATGCTGCTGTCAGACGCGCACCAGTGCCGCCGGCTGTACGAGTTCTCCTGGCGCATGTGCCTCGTGCACTTCGAGACCGTGCGGCAGAGCGAGGACTTCAACAGCCTGTCCAAGGACACCCTGCTGGACCTCATATCCAGCGACGAGCTGGAGACGGAGGACGAGCGCGTGGTCTTCGAGGCCATCCTCCAGTGGGTGAAGCATGACCTGGAGCAGAGAAAGGCCCACCTGCCCGAGCTCCTCCGGAGCGTGCGGCTGGCCCTGCTGCCGGCGGACTGCTTGAAGGAGGCCGTCTCCGGCGAGGCCCTCCTCATGGCCGACGAGCGCACCAGGCTCATCATAGACGAGGCGCTCCGTTGCAAGACCAAGATCCTGCAGAACGACGGGGTGGTCACCAGCCCCTGCGCCCGGCCGCGCAAGGCGGGCCACACGCTGCTCATCCTGGGGGGCCAGACCTTCATGTGCGACAAGATCTACCAGGTGGACCACAAGGCCAAGGAGATCATCCCCAAGGCGGACCTGCCCAGCCCCCGGAAGGAGTTCAGCGCCTCGGCCATCGGCTGCAAGGTCTACGTGACCGGGGGCCGGGGCTCCGAGAACGGGGTCTCTAAGGACGTGTGGGTGTATGACACCGTCCACGAGGAGTGGTCCAAGGCGGCGCCCATGCTGATCGCCCGCTTCGGTCACGGCTCAGCGGAGCTGGAGAACTGTCTCTATGTGGTCGGGGGGCACACGTCCCTGGCAGGTGTCTTCCCTGCCTCCCCTTCGGTCTCCCTGAAGCAGGTGGAGAAGTACGACCCCGGGGCTAACAAGTGGACAATGGTGGCCCCGTTGAGGGACGGCGTCAGCAATGCCGCAGTGGTGAGCGCCAAGCTGAAGCTCTTTGTTTTCGGAGGGACCAGCATCCACCGAGACATGGTGTCCAAGGTCCAGTGCTACGACCCCTCGGAGAACCGGTGGACCATCAAGGCTGAGTGCCCCCAGCCTTGGCGGTACACGGCAGCTGCCGTGCTGGGCAGCCAGATCTTCATCATGGGAGGTGACACGGAGTTCACGGCCGCCTCAGCCTACCGCTTCGACTGTGAGACCAACCAGTGGACGCGGATCGGGGACATGACCGCCAAACGCATGTCCTGCCACGCCCTGGCCTCGGGCAACAAGCTCTATGTGGTGGGGGGCTACTTCGGGACCCAGAGGTGTAAGACCCTGGACTGCTATGACCCCACCTCGGACACGTGGAACTGCATCACCACCGTGCCCTACTCGCTCATCCCCACTGCCTTTGTCAGCACCTGGAAGCACCTGCCCTCGTGAGGAGCACCAGCAGAGCCCAGCCAGGTGAGTCCCCAGCAGCCCGGGGCCTGTTCCCACTCAGGGTCAGGGTCACTGTGTCCTCCAGGGAGGGTTGGATGGGGCAGCAGGTGGCTGGGTGCTCTGGGAGCCTTTTCCAGATCTGACGCTAAAGCCTGGCTCTGCCCGTTACTTGCAGTTGACCTTGAGCAGAGTGTGTAAGCCCTCTGCCAAATGGGAACAACCACCTGATGGGTGCAGTGTGTCCCAGACGCAGCTGCCCAGCAGAATCACTGAGGGTCTTCTGACAGCACTACGTGGGGGTTAGGCCTGCCGGCCAAGTCGAGCAGCAGTCTGCCCACAAGAGTATCCTCACGTCTGACGCCGCGGCAAGTTAGGGCTTCCCCAAGTTACTCTCAGATGCGAGTATTCACTGGAGGGACTCACAGAATGCACTGCAGGCTGCTGTGGTCACGGTCATGGTCTGTTAGAGGAAGGGATACAGGTTAAGATCAGCCAAGTACAGATGACTGGGGCAGAGCCCTCTGCCCGTGCAGTCCAGACAGTGTTACTGTCCCTCCGTCAGTGAGTGACCGGGGGGACGCTCACACAAGCTCTGGGGGCCGGAGTTTCTCTCGGGGCCCCATCACGCAGGCTCGATGGATTACCCACGGGGTTCCTCTGCAAGTCCAGGTCAGCTGGTACAGCGTGAGCCAAAGCCCCTACCCCAAGTCACACGGATGTGCCCACCCCCGCCCTAAACAAGGACAGTCTATTGGGAAGGACCGATCATCTCCCAGAAGCCAAGGGCAAAGGCCAGACTTCTTTACGACACTGGTGCTAAAGCCCACACCACACCCAGGACCAGGTGAGTCCAGGGTGCATCTGGATGAGAAACAGGGACGGTGGATGGGAGAGCTCAAGGGGCAAGCGGGCTGCTGGAGCCGCAGGGCAGGCACCCTGTGGAGGCAGCGGGGTGCTGCTCCCGTCCCGCCAGGTGGCGAGCAGGCCTTCCTCAGAGCGGGCGTCCTGGTGAACGGGGGGCCCCCGGGCTGGGCAGGGACTGCGGCAGAGGACTGCCCAAGTTACTGCTCCTGCTCATTGTTCTTGGGGCCGTTATGATGTGAGGTCCTTACCCAGAAGGGGAAGGTGACAGTGGATGCAGGGAGTTAAGGGACACCGTTAGGTGCTCTTTGGGGTGATGGAGGGATGGGGAGGCAGAGGAGGGACTTGCCCAAGGCCTGAGGGCAGGTGCAGAGTCAGCTGGAGGGAAAGACCAGCTTATCCAGACAGGCCTCTTCTGAGTGTGGGGTGGGGTCTCTCCTGCAGCCCCTCTGGGGCAGGAACAGCGCCAGAACTGCGGTTGGATCAGGGTGTCCTGAGCCGGCCCAGCAGGGAGCTCAGGAGTAGGGGCTGGAAAAAGGGATGGTAGATCTGTAGGCACCAGGGAAGGGTTTGTGTTCTGGTCCCACCCTCTTTGGTCAGGCCCTGGGGAAGCCAGGCTGTGTGTCCCCACCCTTAGCCCTCAGCCCTCCTCCTGGGCCCATCACACCTGGGGCAGGGGCAGCAGGTCCTCAGCCATTAGGACTGAGTTCTGGGGATGCCAGGGTGGGTGGGAGGGAGGGAGGCATGGGTCCCAGGGACTCTGAGAAGCTGCGGCATGGGGCGAGAGATCCCAGGCTCTGTCTCCAGCACAAGAAGAGGCCATGCAGCTAACCTTCCCACCCGGGAGGGCTGGTGACCAGCCCCAGCTCTGAGAAACTGGCCCTCAGGCCAGGCCCTTCAGGTCACAGAAGCCCCCTCAGGAGCCAGCCTGGGTTGAAAACCTGATTTCCTCGCTGACGTGGTGGCTGCTGGGACTGCCCCTCCAGGCAAGCACGTGCTCCGACCGATGATCCGGTCGGCTGGGCCGGCCCGTGAGGCCATCCAGGCCGCAGCCCCTCCTACGTCCAGGGTGTTCAGGCTCCTAAAGGCCAATCTAGGTAGGAGGGGGCTTTGTCCCTTTCTGAGGTTGCCCTGTTTTGTTTTAATCTGCTCTTTCCCTCTTTGGGAGAAAAGTCTGTGTAGCCCAAGTTGTTGGTCCCCTGGGGCATAAGCTTTAAGAGATAGTCGCACCTCCTCATGGCCTCTTCCTGCACTCAGGGGTGGTCACATGTGGGGCCTGAGGGCTCCTTTGCTGGTGCTCGCCCCTCCCCATGACCCTGGACAGTAGTTCAACCCCACGTGGGAGGGGTGGGGGCAGGCCAGCGGACCTCATGAGCCCTGTACTTTTTCAGGAATTTTCCCCCATTCCAGGGACGGGGAGGTGGAGCATGCGTCACTCTTTGATTCTGGCTCTCACTGGCTGCTTGACCCTCTTATGGCGCTCCCCTGAGCCCAGCGTTGACATCTCGAATACAGGAGTGAAGATTGTATGATCCCTAGTGCTTGTATAGGTCAAGTGAGGAGCGGGTTCAGGGTAGGTTTTTATATGAGGTGGTGATGCGGAAGGATGGTGGCAGTAATGGCTTCGGGTTGCTTTGGGCGGTGGGGGCCGCTCCACGTCCCTGGGCCAGCCCCTCCTTCTAGAAGGGTCCATCACCCACAGGAGGCAGTGGGGTGTGCCCGTCTGAGTGCTGCCGGGGCCTTGGCCCTCCAGCCGGGCCCAGTCCATGGTGGGGGTGCCGTTGTCAGCCCCATCTCAGGGAGGAGGAAGCAGGTGCAAAGGGACGCAAGATGGAGCCAGTCCCGCATCCCCAGGGAAAGCCATGCCTGGGCCCCGCCGTCCCAGAGCCATGCCCGCACGTGAGTGTGTGAGCGTCCCCAGCACGGGTTTCCCCAGCTCCTGCACCAGCACCAGCACCACCTGCAGCAGAGGCAGAGGGTCCTTCAGCTGTTGCCCTGTATCCCAGCCATTTCCTTCTCACGGGCCCCCGCAGCCAAGCAGCCCCCTCCCTGCGGCCCCCCTTCCGCCTGGGAAACCGGCGCTCCCGTGGCTCCGTCCCACAGGTTGACCCGGGGTTGTTCCCACGCTCTGCACAGCCCTGCTTCCCTCCAGCTTTGCCGGCCCAGGACGGCTTGGAGTTCTCCAGATCTCTTCAAAGGCCGGGGCGTAAACGGGGCTCTCTGGGGAGGGGCCCGTGACCCGGCATCGTGCAGGAAATGGGGCTGCAGCGGCAGGCAGGTGGCCCTCCGGGGTGGCTGCTGGCCGCCGGCCCCCCCGCAGTGCTGCAGGCCCCGGGCTGGAGGGGTGGCCCTGAGTCAGGGGCAGCAGATGGGGGCGGTGGGAGCGGGGCTGGGACAGCAGCAGTGTGGGGGAGTAGGGGGAGCTGAGCCATGGCACCCGAACGAGGCGCAAAAGGAGCCCAGGCCGAGCACCGTCCACAGGGAGGAAGGACGGGAAGAGCAGAGGTGTCCATGCCGGCTGCCTCCCCTTCCACCTGCGTGGGCATCCGCAGTGGACTGTGGCGCTTTCCACTGAGCCTGGCTGCCAGCTGGGAATCTCCAGCCCGGTGCCGGGGCCAGAGCATGGCTTCCGGATTCCCACGTTCACCTCGCTGTCCCTGCTGGCTCGGGGACCTTCCTGCCCCTGTGCCTGGAGTGCCCCTCTGTCCGGCCTATGAGACTCCGACTCCAGGAGCCAGCAACCAGAGGTCACCTGCCCTCTGCAGCCCCTCAGCATCACGCCAGGTGACGTCCTGTCTCGGCCCCCAGCCTTGAGCTCTTGGTGGGTGCCTGTGTCTACAGCAGAGTGATCGGATCTCATTGACTCCTCAGAACAAGTTGTCCTAGGTCCCACTGTTGCAAAGGGGGCAGCTGAGACAGAGGCTACATCGTTGGCATCAGATAAACAGCTAGGAAGGGTTGGAGCGGGGTTCGAGCCCCAGCCGTGCCCCACGCCTGTGGGCATCTGGGGAGCCAGGCCCCGGGTCTCCTCTGTCTGTACCCTGGCACCGAGCATGGGATGGGCACGAGTGGTAGGGCTGATTGCTGTGTCGGAAGCTCAAGGCCAGCAGGAGCTCCAGGACCAGCCCCTGAGCCCCAGTGTCACAGCCAGACCCACGTAGCTGGGTGATGGCAGCCAGCGGCAGCTGGGAGGCCATTGGAGCTGGGTTACCCTGGGTTACCCGCGAAGTGCAGACTAGCCATGAATGTTCTTTTCTCTTTTTCTCTCCCACTGAGCCCCCCTGCCCCCCATCAAGCTCTGTAAAGGCCCAGCGCCCTCGCCTCTCCTCCCTGGACCCCCACCCAGCATGCTGGGCAAGCATCCAGGCCACCAGGAGCTCATCTCTCCACAGTCATTGTTGGGACCCAGCCACTTGGGATGTGGGGGTGGAGGGGCCTCCAGTCCCAGCTCTGGGAAAGGCTGAGCCCGTTATTCCCCCGCGGGGCCCTGCAAGGGGTTCAGTCACTGCCGCAGGACGGGCGACTCAGCACATCCTATCCTGCCTTAAAAGACATTGCCACCGAGAGGAAATCCCAGAGCACAGATCTACACGATGGGCCTGGTGTCATGAGAAAGGTGCCCAGGCGGGAGTTCAAGCCTCTTGGAACACCCCAGCTCTGTCCATCCGTCGTGCACCCACAGTCTTGTGCTCGGCGGTGTTCACCAGGGTTGGCCACGTGCCAGGCCGGGGATCAGGTGCCAGCTGCCTTCCCTTGCGGCAGTCCTGCGGGGCAGACCCCTCACCCAACCCACAGGACTGTGAGAGCAGTAAGGGGCTTGCCAGGGCCAGCTGCACGCGGGCAGCGTGGGGTGACCGCAGGCCCCACACCACTCTGCAAGGTGGAGGGGTGTCCCATCTCACAGATGGGGAGCCTGGGCCTCAGACAGGCACCTGCCCCAAATTGCGGTGGCCCAGACCGGGACAGCCGTGGGCTGAGCCTGAGGGTGGCTGTGAGCTGGGAGGGAGTTCAGGAGCCGGGCAGTGGGCTCCCCAGTTTCTCCGTCATAAGAGTGCCTTCAGCGACTCGGGACAGGTCAGGGTCCCACAGCCCCTCACCGCTGCCATGGGTGGCTTTGAGGTTTGGTTTGGGGCAGCGGCGGGGCCTTGTCTCGGGGGGGAGCCCCTTGTCTGCCTAGTGTGGTGGGAGGGTGTGAGCAGAGATGGGCCCCGGAGGTTTGGGTTGGCTACCTTGGAGCGTCTCGGGATGTTCGGGGCTTTGTGACCCAGCTTCTACCTTGTGAGGGGCCTTCACCGACCCCCCTGAGGACAAAGTGGCTGCCCTGCCTTGCATCTGGGGGCTGCTGACCCCCTGGGAACTTCCCCCTGTGTTCAAGCCAACCTTCCAGAAGCCTTGGCAGTGAGGGAGTGAGGGGCATACCCGACTTGAAGGAAGAAAGTCCCACAGATTGCAGTGCTGGCTTGAATTTTTAAATGTTACTTGAATACGTGCAGACCTACAAGTGGTTCTAAGCCACCACGTGTGGAGGTGTTGTACGCGGACACGAGCACTCAGGGGGACTCTAACCAAAGCTGGGACCCCAAGAACGGCATCGTCATTAATTGTCCTGCGGAGACGGTCTGGCCTGTTGGCATCTTGGCGGACCCGCAGGTTTCCTGGAGCGCTCTGCCCGCCCGTGCCGAGGGCCCACTTCCCTGCCCCTCTGCAGCCACCGGGAGACTCCTTCGGGCAGCTCAGCGTGCTGGGAGGACATCCTCCGTGTCCCCTGGCACACAAGCGTCTCCATGGTTAAGGCCACCCCGGAGCCCACGGCGCTTCCAGTGCTGGCCAGAGTGTGCCCCACGAGCCGGGTACCTGGAAATCCTCTGGGAGAACTCCCGAGAATTCTTACAGCGCTGCCCCCGCCCCCAGGGTTCGGCTCCATGTGGAGGCCAAGTGCTCAGTCCCTGCCATGCTGTCCTGAGTGCTTCCTCTTTCCTGCCCAGCCAGGCCCTTCCTGCGCACCACCCCCGTCCCAGGTCCTTTGTCCCCGTGGTTCCAGCCATGGCTGTCGCCCCCTGACCCTGACACACGTCCACAGCCACATCTCCACGTGGACTCAGGCAGCGCTATGCTGAGCTGTCGCGGTGGGTCAGGCTTTAAAATCGACCGTGCTGGCCCAGTTGGGTTAGGTCAGGTGCTTCAGGGACATCCTGCGCGAAACCTCTCCCATGCGGTGGACCACTCCGTCCTCCGCTGGGAGGCTGAGATCCTTCCCTCCTCTTCCCCGGACAGCAGGAAGCTCAGAGAGGGCGGACGCTGCACTGATGGAGAAGCCAGGCTGGAGTGTGAGCTCGCTGACCGCGGGCTTGTGCTCCCTCCTTCACCACCGTCAGCCCCCAGAGCCTGTGTCAGGGCCCAGCAAATATCTGTGGAGGATACGGACGAATGGCTGGCTGGCGTCCCCCCCTGCCTCCCTGCTCTCTGTGTCTACGCCTGTCCTGTTTCCACCTCACCGGCCTCATTTTCGATTTTCAGACGCGCCAGCTTCCCACCTCCGGACCTTTGCACATGCTGTTCCTCCTGCCTGCACTGCTCTTGGCCCCTCTAGCAAACTCCTGTCCCTCCTTCAGGTCTCAGGTTAAATATTACCATCTTCCCACACCCTCCACCAAAATAAAAAGTCCTGGTTCTTCTACTTTTTTATTTTTCACGCATAGCACCTCTGACAGCAGGTGATTGCTGTATGCAGTTACTGGTACGAGCATTTGGGGTCTCCCACCGGGGGACGATCCAGGGGACAGTCGCTGTGTCTGTTTGCCCTCCTGTCTCCCGAGCGCCTAGCGCGGCGCCTGCTGGGTTGCGGGGCCTCAGGCCATGTAGCTGGAGTGGCTGGAGGGACGGGGGGGTTGCCGCGTTCCGGGTGAGGGAAGCAGGGCCCAGGGAAGCGGCTGCACTGCTGGTAAATGGACAAGCCACCTTCTCACGCCCCGGGCTTCTGCTCTCGGGGCCTGACTTCCAGCCCCTTAGTGTGGCCTCCTGATTCTCGCTTCCTTCCAGGTTAGGACAGAGCCATGTGGATGTGACTCATGCTCTCTCCCCCTCCCTCTCTCTTCCCCTGCAGACTCTGTGTGTCTCTCCCACCCCTGCGGCTGCAGCCCTCACTGTCCCAGAGTGGCCCTGACCCCGCCGGCCGCCGCAGGAAGCTCAGCCCGGCCCCAGGGCAGCACTCGCGGTGGGAGCAGCGGTCTCGGGGGCTGTCCTGAGCTTCAGACAAGAGGAGGGAAGCTGTCTGGAGTGCCCTGTGTGTCCGCCCGAGGCCTTTTCCGCTTTGCGGTGGTTTGTAGGGGAGAAGACCTTCCGGAGGCGCACAGACCGACCTCAGGAGTCCCTCAGCCTCGGGGAGAAGACACATTGCAGAGCCTTGAGGTGGCCTGTTGCAGCAAGTCCTGTTCGGGGGCAGGGAGGAGCCCCCCGTGGGTTGGGGTGGGCGGCACTGGGAGGCCTTCGGGTCACGCAACGCCGACAGCACCGCCTTGGCCTCGCCCCTCCCTGTTGTCATTGTGATGTCACCCACCAGAGGGTGTCCCGGGCCTCAGGGAAACGGGGTCCACCGGGCCTGAGAGCACAAGTTGCCTGGGAGGAAATCGAGGACACGTTGCGTCACGGGCAGAAACCCATCGGGTGACCTCAGTGGCACCCACAAAACTTCATTAGCAAATGACACCAAGACCCCCAGGGTTAAAGAGGAAACTCTTGTGGGCCCCTCCCCAGAGTCAGGCCCGCTGGGCCCGGGTGCACACGGACACTCATGCCCTGTCACAGCAGGACTTGGGGGCTGCCCATCTCCTCAGGGCCCACACCCCAAGAGGTGGCAGTGATCCCATCTCCTGACAGGACCATACTGGCCCTCGGGATGTGGCCCTGCCCCCCAAGCCTAGGGGCAGGTAAGAGCTGACGACCGCAGGGTTACTCCGGGCACCCATCGAGATCCCAGCAGGCCTGGCCGCCTCAGCATGGAGGACAGCAACAAGGCCTGTGACCCCGGCCCCCAACCAGCACCAGCTGTCCTCTGGCACCTGGGCCTTCCAGCTGGCCCGGTCACTCCCTGGGCCCCAGAAGCAAGAATAGTCCCCAGAACTGCCAGTTCTTGGCTCATTTTCTCCACCCCCGAAGTCAGTGGGTCCCTCATCAGTGTATCCCCAGTGTCTGGGGTTCTGGAGGGGTCAGCTCACACCTAGTTTTCGGGTTTGCAGTGCAGCCCTTGCCACCTGCGGGCACCGCTGTGGGGGACGGGGCCGGGGCCAAACCGGTGGCTTCCCTGGCCGCCTGCCAGCTACCTGCCATTTGCTTGATGCTGCTCGGCTGGTCCGGGGCTGGGGCGCCCCTGTGGGCTGCCCTGTGGTGGGGCCGCGTCACAGACCCGCCGCTGTCATCCTTCCGCGGCGCCCCCTCGCAGGACCTCGTGCTGCCGCTGGCCCCGTGGGCGTCTCTTGGGGTGGGCTCTGGTCCCGGGGGAGGGGGCGGCGGGGGCGGCGGAGGAAGCCGCTCACCCCGAGGCCCAGGCTTCTGGACGGCCGAGGTGGGGCACACACAATTGTCACGCAGCATCACGGGCCTCACAGTGGTGCTTCCCCCACGAGTTGTGTTCCTTCTGTTTCCAACTTAATAAAGAGCTGAGAAAAACCGTGCTTCCCTTGGGGCTGGGGACCCGTGTTGGGCAGCCTTGGAGTTCGCGCCACCAGCCAGGGCCGGGGTCTGCCCCCTGACCTCTGCCCCTCCGCTGAGTTGGGGGGCGGGGAGACCTCCTCCCCAAGGACCCCCCGGCACCCAGATGAGATGGCTTCCTTTCCTCAGACTGTCCCAGCAGCGAAGCCTTGAAATTGACCCTTGACCCTCGTAGAATCCAGATGGCTTTCCTGAAAAGCTCCTGCTGGGGGAGCTCGAAGTTCAATGTGCTCGTCTGTGCGGGAGCCCCGGCTGACACTCATTTGTGTGACCAGAGGGAGGCGGGCCAGGTGGCGCAGTCGCCCCCAGGGGCCAGCATTAGCACCGTGTGGCCTCAGATGCTCGTGTCCCCTGCTGTCCCTTCACGCCCTCCACAGCCAAAGCAACTCCCAATTCGGGAGCGTGGGCTCAGGGCGCCCCTCAGAGCGGGCGGCCCAGCGTGGCCCCCGCCGCCCGTGTGCTCTGAAGCTCCACGGTGCGCAGGCCCCCCGAACCCAAACTGGCCTTGAACCATGTGAACAAGTGGTTCAGATGCTGACGGCGTGATACGGCTCATTTCTCAACACCTCGAAGGAGCATCATCTGAACGAGTGAGTCGATCTCGAAAGTGTGATGCGCTCAGAACTGCCAAGCAGGGACGCCCTCCCAGCTCCCTCCACAAACCGCCAGGCACAGCCCCTCGCGCTGCTTGTTCTGCCCCTGGTGCTGGGAGTGACAGGCAAGCACCCCCCTCGCAGGCCTGGACACTGGCCACCAGAAGTGGGGGCGGCCTCCTATTAGGCTGCAGTAGAAGCAGCACAGATGGTAAGCAGAGGCGTGTTTCTCCTTATGCAGCCTGGATGTGAGTGTAAGCGAGCCAAGGCCGGAGTAGGATTGGGCCCCAGCCTCCTATCTTGTTACTCTGGCAGCTTCCATGCAAGGCTTCTGTCTCCTGGCCCAATGTGGCCACCCCGTTCCTGCCATCTCGTCTGCATCCCAGCCGTTGGGAAGAGGAAAGGACACGACCAGCAAACCTCTTTAAGGGCATGCCCCCCAACTTGCACACGTCACTTGGGCACACTCCCATGCGAGGCTGGGCATGGCAGCCACAGCTCCAGCCGATCACTGAATAAAGGGGAGGTGGGTATTGGAGGGCAAGGAGCAACCTCGGCACCGGCCCGCCTGACCTGGAGTCGAACGGAGCCTGTCCACCCTGGCCTGCCTCCCCTTCTCTGGAGCCGGTCAAGTGGGGCGCGCAGAGAGCCTCAGGCCTCTTCAAGAGCCTGGCCCTGTGTGCGCGCCAACATTGGGGAGGCCCGCCCGTGCTGCCACCGACCAGCGCTTTGCCTGGTTGCCCCCGTGGTCTGCACGGTGACCCCAGGAGGTGGGCCTTCTCGTCCTCCCCCTGCTGCTGAGGAAACAGGCCTGGAGGATAAAGCTCTGCCCCACCCGCCCCGCACTGGTCACACCGGCCAGAAGGAACTGGGGCTGGTGTGCGTCTGACTCAGGGGCAGCAGGGTTCACGAGGAAGTGAGGTTGGGTTCTGTGCAGTGCTGAACGCCAGGCCGGGCACCCAGAGAGCCTTGCGGTGACGAGAAGGGCCGCCATCATTGCGGAGCTGGAGGAGGGAGGGAGGGAGGGGTGCATGCCCAGTCACTGGCCAGCACGCCCACTTCCACGCTTCCTGGACCCCCAGGGGCCAGGCCGTGTCTGGGGTGGGGCTTTGGGAAGGGAGCCCCGGAAGCGCTGGGGTAAGAAATCCCTGGGGACCTTGTCCCAAGGGGGCCCACAGAGCTCTCGTGGGTTATAGCTCCCGAAGCTCGGGCCACTTGGAGCCTTCAGCACCCCCGTGAGCCCACCTGGGGGCCTGCATTTCCCAAGGCCAGGAAGGGGGTCCGATCGTCCCTCCTCACTGCTCCTCAGCCAGGTCTGCCTGTGTCCAAAGGCCCTTCCCTGGTGTAGGAGGTGGTGAGGGGCCAGCCCAGACCATCCACCCCAGTGGCCTGTGGTCACCATCCCTGCTCAGCACCCAAGGCTATAAATCCTGGGGCGGGGGGAGAGAAGGAGCCTTGTAAGCAGCCATTAATTGTCTTTAAGGAGGCGGCTCAGAAAGAGCCTTTGGTTCTTCTGGGTCATCGGTGGGTGGGTATTTCGTGCAGTGAGAAACGAACTGCCTCATCCCAGCCCCAGTGTCTCCACGAGCCTCTTGCCTATGGGAGGGGGGAACGAACGTTCTGCCACTTAGAGGTGGCCGGCCTCCCCCTGCTTCCCTGCCCGTCAGGCATCTGGGCCAGAACGGGCCCCACCTGACCTCCCAGCCTCCGGGCTCGCAGCACCTGTCAGCGTCGGGCCCTGCCTGTAGGCAGGTGTGGTTGGGGTCCCTTTCCAGCAGGGACGCACAGCTGTCCTCACCTGTTTTGCCGCCACCTTGGGCTTGGGCTTGGGCAGGTGTACTTAACCTGGGATTCAGGATTGAATTCAGGGGTCTGTGCCCTTGAATGGGAAAGCATTGCACCCTTCTCTTCAAGAACCTCTGACAGCATTTTCTTCAACTGGGAATGTAGGCAACCACCCCACTGGTATCAGCCTCTGTGACTGACTCCGGATGTTCTCGTGGCATTATAGTCGTCCGTATCTTGAAATACCACAAACTCGTTACTGTGTCCAAATTACAATCATTCTCAGACTGGCCACCAATCACGTCACTAATACAGAAGCGTGGACGTTACAAGACATAAATTCGGTTTCTAAAATATTCTGTGGGTGTACAGGAACTCTGTCCCCAACTCCTATGTTGAAGTCCTGACCAACCCCCAGTGCCCCAGTGTGGCCTTTTGGGAAACAGGCCCTTTGCCGATGTAGTCAGTTCAGGTGAGGTCATAGCAGAGCAGGCTGGGCCCCTAACCCAACCTGACCAGTGTCCTTAGAGGGGAAATGTGGACGCAGACACGCACCCGGGAACGCACGTGGAGACTGGAGCTTTGCTGCACAGGCCAGGGCTCTATCAGGAGACAGGCCCGGGACAGAGCCGGCCCCAGTGTGACAAGAGCAGCATCCGGCCCATCTTGGACTTGCCTCCAGGGCTGGGGTTCCAGCCGGGTGGTGCACTGTGTAGGGCAGCCCCTGCCTGCTGATGCAGTGGGTTTCCTCCGCTAGCCTGCATGTTGTAGCTTACGTATTGAAAACAAGGGGGAGGGGGACATAAATAAAATAAAACCATTCCCCTGCGGGGTCCGCAGCCTTCCCCAGCTGACCAGAGGGACCAGAACCCTGAAAAGGTTAGAGGGCCTGACCCACCACGCAGACAGGGTGCCGAGGCTCTCTGCTCTCTGGAGCTCCCCCTGCGGCTGCAGGCCAGCAAGGGACCCCCGGCCTGGGACCCTAGCTGAGCACGGCAACCCCGCACCTTCCTGGGGTCCCGATCCAGGGCAGGTCAGGGCAAGAGTAGGGGCGGGGGACTCCCCTGGGGAAGCTCTCAGCCAGGCCTCACTGGCAGGGGGGTTGCCATCTGGCCCCCCAGCTGCGGTCACATGACTCCGGGGCACCAGCCACTCGGGCCGGGCCTCAGAGCCACACTCCCCAACGGAGTCTTCCCCAGCGGAAGCCCCGCAGAGCCCCCGGATGGCTGTGGAGAGCTGCCCCTGGGGTTCACTTCCGACCTTCTCCTCCCCAATGATAGGAGGCTGGCCAAGGGCCCTGGGTCGGAGAAGGGCTGCCTGAGCCTGGCAGAGCCCTGAATGCCAGGCACACATTTGTGATGCACGTCCCCAGAGGCCAGGATCCCATTTCCCGGATCCAGACAACGGGGACACTAGGGCCACAAGCCCCTCCCTCCGACAGGTGGCCAGAACCGAGCAGCGGGGGGCATTGTTCTGCACCCGCTGAGGCCCATCCTTTTGTATCCACGCGCCTGGCTGCCAGGTGGGCACCCAAGCCAGGACTTCCCGGCTACCTTTGTGAGAAATGGTTGTAAAATCTGTAGGTGGAGCGGAGGGGTGGGGGAAGCTCGTGTACACCCAGCTCACTTCTCATCCCTCCAGCTACCCACCTGACGCCAGGCCCCTCGGGTCTCCATGCTTCAGCGGCCATGTGTGTAAAGGAGACATCACAAGGGGCCATGTCAGCGGGTCCCCAGGAGAACTGAACAAGGTAAGGACACATGAGTGTCTGGTGCGAGGTGCTGAGCAGCCCTGGCCCTCAGGAAACACCCGGCAAACATCATCGCCACGTGGTTCTCCTTGGTGGCCCCCGGAGAAACTTCCATGTGCAGAGACCGCACTCCGGCCCAGCCGCTGCCCCAGGCGGAACCAGCGGGCCGGTGCCTGTCTGTGCTTACCGGTCCATCACCCAGAACGTCCTAGTTCATGTCGTGTTTTCCTTCTTGGGTCAACGCTTTGAGCCATGTTACACCCCAAAGTGGTTGTTGAGGTCAGAGGGCAGGGTAGTTGTCCTGGAAAGGACACGGGCTCAAGGTCAACGGGCAGGGTCTTTACCAGGTGACTGCAGTTTCAGAGCCAAGCAGATCCAGGTTACCATCTGGCCTGGAGCGAGGGAGGCGTGCTCACCTGGGCCGCCTCCCTGGAAGCGCAGTCGAGGGGCTGAAATGAGGATGAGAGAGCTCTGAGGGTGAGGAGGGTGGCGTGAGCCGGGGGCCCCCCGTCCAGAGCCGTCTCAGCCTCAGGCTCTGAGGGGCACTTGGGAAGCCCCATGGACGCAGCCGTCAGGGAGCATCCTTGGCCCCTGGGACCAGACAGCCCTCCCCGCCCTCTCTGGTGGACATGTTTTGTTGCTGGGGTAGGCCTGGGACGCTGGCCCGCGGAGGCCAGGGTGGCCTTCGGGGGGAAGCGGAGCAGGGCACATCGGTGGTGAGCCACCTGGGCGGGGACCGAGAGCCTCTGCGCCAAGCGAGGAGCCGGACCTAAGTTCCCCCACGGGCCCTGGGGGTGGGTTAAGAGAGCCCAGGGACCAGCGCCCCGGTTGGCCCGGGCCTGAGCGAGCGGTTCCCGGGATGGGGGAGAGAGTCATGCAGACCAGGACGCGGGCTCGCCCCACCCGCGTGCCCTCTGCTAGCCCCCAAAGCCGAGGGGCCTTGCGCTGGGGTTGGCTGGAGCTGGAGGTGAGCAGCAGGGGAGGGAGCAGTGGCTAGCCCCCCCGCCAGGCCGGGCCCACTCCCTACCAGCAGTGTGTTGTGGGCAAACCCCAGAGCCTTTCAGATCTCGCCTCTGTCGGGAAGGCTGGTCACCCTCTGGTGGGGTTCATTACACAGGCTGTCTGCAGGCGGTCCCCTGCATTGAGTCGAACTGGGTCGGGCTGGACTGTATTCCCCGCCAATTACTTCATCTAATTTCTGGAGCGCCAACTAGGTGCCAAGCACTGAGCTCCTTGCTGGCGGCCGCCATCCCCCCAGGGTCCAGCGACCCAGCCCTCCCCGTGGGTGCCGAGGTCCCCCGTGCTCGGCAGCGGCCTCCCAAGCACCGCCAGCCCCCCGGGCCAGGGCAGGGAACCGGGGAGGTGGGATCGGGAGGCACTCTGCTGCCCCTGTCCCCTGGGGTGAGCCTCGCGCAGAGCCAGCTCTGAGGACGAAGCACGCTCCGAGATTCCATGCCGGCGGGAGCTCAGTCCCACTGCCTGTGAACTTTAAAAAGATAACTCTGCCTTCTGTCCGCTTTGTAGAGCAGACACTGGTGCTCTGTGTCACATCTCTGAGCTCCTGCTAGGCCTTGTCACACACTAGGGACACTAGGTTTGGTCTCCCTTGCTCTCCTCTCCCCGCTTCTCAGGGAGAGAAATGAGGTTTTTTTGTTTGTTTTGGGATTTTTTTGTTTCTTTGTTTTAATTAGAGAGAGCGAGCGAGCAGGGGGAGGAGCAGAGGGAGAGGGACAAGCAGACTCTGTGCTGAGTGCGGGGCCCAGTGAGGGACTTAATCCCACAACCCCGAGATCATGACCTGAGCCAAAACCAAGAGTCAGGCTCTCAACCGACCCAGTCACCCAGGCCCCCCAAGAAATGAAACTTTAACATGAGAGCTGAGACGATACCCTGCAGCCCAAGCTGCTGAGTTGGGCTGTGAGGTCCCTGTCGTAGGGACCGCTTGGGGCTCCAGCTCCCTTCTGCTCACCAAGCTGGGTGTGCTGGCGGCGGCGGCTTTTTCTGACTAGCCCTCGCTGTCCCTGCCTGGGAGTCTGAGCCGTGCTCGAGGTCAGGTCGGGCCGCGATGGGCCTCGGACCGCACGCCGTGTCCCCACGAGCTGAGCCTGCAGGTTGCCCAGGGTGGGGTGGTGCGGACGCACTGGGAGTCAGGCCCACTGGGGCCCAGATTCCAGCCCTGCTCGAACCCGGTGGGGGTGGGGGGTGTTCTCCCTGGGGAATGTCGCTTTGCTTCTGCAATTCAATTCCTCATCTGCATCTAGAGGGGGCGGGGGCAGATAATATTGGCTGGCGTAAGGTTTAAACTGAATCTGGTAGATGAAGGGGTTGCTGGGCTTCCTTCCACAGTGGTCATTTCCTTTGCTCATATAAGGTTGCCACTGAGGAACGTGTGCATGTCGGAAGAAAAATTCACTAGAAAGACAAAGCACGCCAGATTCCCTGGAGAGTCAAGGGAA